ATGTAATGGTAGGTCCTTAGCTATCACATTTTTCATGAAAATTTTTTATCCTAAATCCGTCCTAAGTTGCCTTATATAAGAGTTTACTTTTTCCATTGATAGGTATAACTTTATTAAAGCTAAAAATTTCTTGATAGTTCAAAGTTTCTAGATAATAGTCTACCAATCCTCTAAAATCATATGGTTTATCTTATTTAAGTAAATTTTGCATTAATTCTAGTAATTTCTTATCCTTCTACTGTAAATTCTAATTTTAAATCTGTATAAATTCAAGGTTATAAAGTTCAGAGTTAAGTTCCTATTTTTAAAAGTGAAATAGACTCTTGCTTTACAAAGATTGATCTGGACCTAGGTATTTATTTATTTTATTCATCATATCAACGAACTCACTAGCCCCAAACATTTTATCCTTGCTCTGATATAGTTAGAGATTTAAGATTAGCGCTTGAATTTTTTCTAATCAATTTTTAAGAGTGGGGATTTTATCTTAAATATAATTTTCCAAATGCTTTCCTAAAATATTTTCATGCTCTAATTTCTCATGATTGACATAGTAGCAATCAGTTGAGCAAATATTACAGAACATTTGATTTTTTGTTTTGCAATATTTATCAATAAATCTGTCATGATGAGTGTCACAATAAATGTTTACAAGATCTATTTTATCAAGATTGTCAATCAATTCTTGAACTGGAATCAGTTTAAAGCCTTCTTATTGCTAGCAAGAATCACCTAAATGGCAAGTCAATTATGTCTTGCCATTTTAGAGTTGATTTTGAATACATCTATTGCAAACAATATGACCGCATGATAACATCATTGGGATTCTTGTGCTTTGCTTGTAAAGTAGATTGCATCCTTTGCATATGTAGGTAAAAATTGATTACATTAATTTTTCTTAAAGGGGATCCACCTTATTTTTAAATATAATTAAATCTTTTAAATATCTGCTTAATCAATTTTGCTTTATCTTTCACAATTATTGATAAATTTTCAATTCAAATTATGTATTAATTGGCCAAAAGAAATCATATGGGGTTTTGGGGTTTTGGGG